TTTCTATACCAATCCTATATTGTGTCAACTTTTTAAAAGCATTTTTTATGGAGACAGATGCATTTGACTTTGCCTTAATTGTAGTCTTGTCACAAATAGGAACAAATGACAATTCAAAAATCAAGATTAATTATGAAATCTATGACAAGGAACTTCTTGCAATTGTGGATTCTTTTCAAGAATGGCATCATTATTTAGAAGGCGCTTCAAGTCCAATCACTATATATACGGATCACAAGAACCTCGAGTATTTCATGTCAGCACTTGTTTTGAATCAGAAAGAAAAGCAACTTTTGTCTAACAAAAGATAATTTTATTGAAGCTAGAAAAATTTCATCTTTGAGTGATAAAATCAACATTGACTATTGATTTGATTTTTCTCAAGCTGATCCAAGCAAGTATGTCTTCAAACCTTCTTGTTCATGATATTAAAAACAATTCTTCTAAGTTTCAAGATACTTCTAAGTTTGAATATAACGAGGACCTACTCTATTTTGAAGGATGTTTATATGTTCCAGAAAGAGAAGCAAGATTACGTGCTCTTGAACCTCATCACAATTTCCCTTCAACAGGATATTTTGGATATAATAAGACTTTAGAGCTTATATTTAGAGATTTTTGGTGGCCTCAAATGTGGAAGGTTATTAAAGAATTTGTGTAGACATGTAATATTTGTTCAAGATCAAAAACTCCTTGTCATCAATATTATAGACTCTTCCAACCATTACTTATACCAAAACAACTATGGTCTTCTGTCTCTATGGATTTTATCACAGATCTTTCAATTTCAAGTTCATATGATTCTATATTTGTGATTGTAGATCATTTCATCAAGATGGCATATTTTATACCATATACAAAATCTATCTCAAGTAAAAGAATAGCTAAATTCTTCCTTGACAACATCTATTGCTATCATGGATTATCAAGGGATATTATATCAAATAAAAGAATACAGTTTTTATCAAGTTTTTGAAGAATTCTTTTCAAGATATTGAAGGTAGATATAAAACCATCTTCAGGTTTCCACCTTTAAACTGATGGACAAATAGAATGGATAAATCAAGTTTTAGAGCAATACTTGAGATATACCATCAAATATCAACAAGATGATTGGAAAACTCTTTTGCCATTGGCAAAGTTTGCTTACAATAATTCAATATATTCTTCTACTCAACAAACACCTTTCTTTCTCAATTACAATTATTATCCATGATTTGACACTTTTGACTTTTTAAAAGTTGATAATTGTGTAGTACAAGATGTGGCAAATTGATTGTCACAACTATATGCAACAATAAAGGTACAATTAAAGGAAGCTCAAGAACGAGAAAAAGCCAATGCAAATTTTTGTCGGAAAGAACAACCTCAATTCCATGTAGGAGATAAGATATGGTTACTTCATTGTAATATTAAAACTATTTGTCCTTATGACAAGTTGGATTATTGTAGGCTTGGATCATTTCCTATTTGTGAACAAATCAATCTAGTTGCTTATTGATTACACCTACCAAAGTCTATAAAAATCCATCTTATCTTCTATGTGTCTTTATTTAAGCCATACAAGACAATAGATATACAAAGAAAGAGACAAATGCCACCAACTCTTATAGAAGTGGACAATAATGAAGAATTTGGGATGGAAGAAGACTTAGATTTAAGGTGGCATCAAAATAGGTTAAAATATCTAGTACATTAGTATAGATATGACATTAATGAATGCACATGGGAGCCATCCAAAAATCTAGCAAATGCATCAACCAAAATTAAAGCATTTCATCAACAATATCCATCAAAACAAAGATGAAAAGTCAAGAAATTCTTTGCTTTTAAAGCAAAGCAAGCCCAATAGAGATTTCATTCTATCTTATTTGATTGCTTCTTTGGATTTTTTAGTACTAAGGACATGAAGAACCAACAACTACTAGATTCAACTTAAGAGTTATCATTTGCTGAGCTACTAGACAAGACATTGCGACAATCACATCCTTTGAGATGGCAAAATTGAGATGAAGATCCTCAAGAATGATATGTTCTTCCTCAAATAGATGGGAAGATACAACACGTGTGATACCATGACCTTGAAAGAGACTCCTGATGTTTAGTGATACTTTTGGAGGTAGAAACTACTCTTGATAGTATTATTAATGTTTTGTTTGAAAGAAGTTATAAAGGCCTCAATAATGATCAAATATTAGGATGGTCTTCTTGTCCTAATATGAGACATTATCAATGGTTGAAGGGACCTATAAACTACCTTCGAAGAGAACAAAGATCAGAGTACATGGCAAATACAGTTTGCTGCATCTTGGACTCTATCGATATATAATCATTGCTTCTTGTGGAACTCGTCTCTAAAAAGGGAGGAGTAATGTCATAGACATACATATTTATCTTGATAATTATCTAGATAATAAGAATAAGTAGAAGTAAGTCAAAGTAGATAAATATAATAATATCTTGTAAAAAGCTTCCTAGAAGCTTCAAAGACGTTGCTTTGCCTTTATACATGTCTATAGGTGATTGATAGGTTGAAAACTTGGCTAATAAGGAGGCCATGTGTCAATATGTTGACCACTTGTAGTACAAGTTGGACATATGGTGCACACCTAAGAAACTTGCCTTGCAAATTAGACATATGTCTTATAAGTTGGATACGTATTAGAGGTCCTATAGCATGTTGCCATGAATTTCGTAGTTAAGTAGTATATATTGAAGCAAGAGTAAGACCTTCTTCACTCTTCTCAATTTCTTTCTTGCTTCTAGTCCAATTTCAAGAATCTCAAGTTTTCTTGTCTTTTAGCAATAAGTCATTCTAGTTTCTTTTTAATATACATACTTCCTTATTTTTATTTTGTCACTTTTTCTTTGACACAGATTTTATTGATTTATGCATCATCTTTCAGTTCATGTCCTTAACACATACTACCAAAGAATAGTCTAATACTTGCTTTGATACAAATGAAATAGGGCCAATCTTTCTTGAGAATCTAAGACTCTTCTAATCCATAGCCATATAAAACCTCATCATGAAGTAGGACAAAATGGACCAAAACAAAACCATATTTTATCTTTTATTTATTTTTACTTTAAGCATGATATTACAAAAACATCTTTTAATTTAGATGCTTAATTTATAAACTTCATGATCCTTTAAAATCTTCTAAGTGATATTTTTAGTAACTAATATATATATATATATATATATATATAAGAAAAGCTAAGATCATCTTTAATCTTTTAAAAATCTTTCTTTATATTCAATTTTTTCTTCTAATCTTTATATTTTCTTTATATATATTAATAGCTATTTTAGCTTATTTCTATCTTATAGCAAGTCCTCATTTTTGTCTTTTGTTTTTTTTTTTTTTGTTTTTTTTTTTGTTTTTTTTCTTCTTAATAGTAAATGTACATAATTTCATTATTTTTTGTAAAGATTTTTTTTAACAAGAAAAAATATAAAATAGTTTTGTATTTAATAAGGATTTTTTAATTTGAAAAATTTATAAAAATATTAGACTTGTAAAAATCATAGAATTATCTATTACGCATATAACCAAATATGTATAATAAATTTATAAAGGATCTATTATGCCATCATTTTATAAAATATATTAATCTTTTATATTAATTTATCATCTTTAATCTTAAAGATGGAAAAATATAACATTAAAATTTTTATTAAGATAATTTATTTTAAATTATTTTCATAGTAGTAATGTTAAAGGTGTTCACTTTTTTTACTTCTTTTATTCATTTTTTTTTCGTAGCTTCTTAAATACCTACAAACTTATAAGCCCTTTTAAATGTCTAGAGTCTAGAATTTGATTTTGATTTTTGATTTTTTTAAGACAAATTTTAACAACTTATATTGTTAATTTTTTTTACATTAAAGGAATCTTTTAAATATATATATATATATATATATATATATTATGAATAAAATTAAAAACGTTTAAAATACAAAATCTGAATTTTTTTAAATAAAAAAATGCAAATAAATAAATGTACCACCACATGTTGACAAGTTGTACTAAAAAAAGAATACAAAAACAGGGCTATAAAATCTCAACCATGATAGATTGATGGCCCAGCATGAGGAAGGATTACCTCAACACCAACATTCAGTTTAAAACCGATAAAGGAGAGTTGACAACTGAAGTAGTAAATGTCCATTGTAGCTCTCTCTACGACACAAACTAAATTGCATGGAAAAAGCCTCATATTCTTTCATGTGGGATTATTATTCTTATTTATTTACTTATTTATTTTTGTTGTTGTTGTTTAAAGCATATTTATCAAATGAATGTTCCGATGCGGTGATGGTGGTTCTGAAATAGAGAGACCATGGTGGTGAGCTCCATTTCGAAGGTGGTCGTGTGAAGTTGCTGCCCAACTTTGTGCACAAGTGTGTCACTGAACCCCGATTTTCTCGTGAATTTAAAACTGGGATGGGCTAGCTAAGGCGAAGTTTTCTAAAACAGTCGATTGGTTCGACAACTCAAGGATCACTAGTTCGTTGAAAAAGATGGCAAAACAGAATATTAACAATGGGGAAGGGGCAGATGTGCACAAAAAAAGCAGAGGAAATTTACTTGTTCAAAAGTGCGGAGGATGCAAGCATTGACTAAGTCGTGGAATTGCCGAGGGAGAGTCAGCCCCCCTTCCCCTCCCAGGGGATGATGGGGATGGGGATGGTGACAAGGACTTCGACTACGTTCAAGAGAGTTTTTTTTTCTTTTTTTTTTTTTTTTTTTTTTGCTAAATCATCGGAGAGCTTACCACAACGCAAAAAGTATGATGCCAAAACAAAAGCACGGTTGTCAGGTCAAAATTTGCCGGTGCAGGTGCAGCTTGGTAGGCAGCTGTTACTTCACCCAAAACTGGGTCACAAATGCTCGGGAAGGCCAACGAAGGGAAAGGATGGAAAGAGAGAGAGAGAAAGAGCGAGGTGAAGCCGACGACGACGACGACTTGTCAAGCGAGATTTCTAGAAAAGTTGAATGCTTCAATGTCGTTGGCTATGTCGTTCGTTCGTTGGAGCTTGTGGATCCCTCACAGGGCATCGCGTAAGGTTTCAGTCGAATCTTGGGCGACTTGGCCTGACAGAATCTTCGCTTCGATCGCCATAGCTGGCCACCACGACGACTAGGCCCAGGCCTGGCTGGGTGAGAGCCAGTTCCAGCCGCCGGCCCCACATGCTCTCTCTCTCTCTCTCTCTCTCGCATCTGGCGTTGCGTTGCGACCATGAGGTAGACTACAGTATGGTTAAGAGCGGGCTTGCGGGTGGAGAGAATTGGGCTGTGTTCGATCGAGGCTGATGGTGCTGCAGTGGCTGGTGCCGTCGCTTTACGGAAAGGGGCTGGTGCCGGGGATGCGTAGGTTTGTAGGCTTTGGAGCAATGAGGCTTTGATTTTACGATCTGGCAGGGACGATCGATTGTTGGAATCTAGCAGCGAGACGATGGGATATACGAGGAAGCATCACATCTAGTGGTGAGGGTAGAGGATTGCATTCGCCACTGGAAATGGATCCCCTCCCTGGAGGATTGAATGTTGAAATGGCTTCCGGATTGATCACAGATCGTGTGAGCGGTAAGAATCCAGTCTTCATCCTCATTTTCCGAATGATTTGAGCGCTTCTAGTTCTTTAGCTGAGGAATTGTGGCCTATGATTGTCTCCCAGCTGGAATGCCAAGTTCGATGTTCTTCATCGCATCAATCAGCACCACTAAACCATTCGCATTCAGAGTAAGTGAAGCACTATGCCATCTCAGCGGCAGAAACTAAAGAGGCGAACTTGCACGCACGTAATTTTGAAGCGAGGTCGTCTTACCAAAGTGTGCGAATGGGACATTAATAAACGACTGTTTCACCCTCCATTTTTGCCGCTTCTCGGCATTCTCTCAAACGGCGATCGAAGAGGTAACTCCTTTGCACGGAACGGCCCGAGACGGTTCTGTCTGTAGTTCATTTCAGGCCCGGAAACTGATCGGATTTCTGAGGAGCCATAGATTGTTCCATTTGGGGTGGGGATTCCTCAAAATTGGATAAAAGCACGACATTGCTATCTAGCTTTTCTTTGCCGCAACAGTGGTGGGGTAAATTTGGACTAGGATTCTTTTGAAGACGGTGGTTGTGTTTATATTTGGGTTTTGATTGCATTAGGAATTGGTCCTTTCCTTACCTCTTCTTACACTCCAAGTCGCATTCTCAGTGCCTTCCGCAGCCTCTCTTATATATTTCAGTTCAGCTTAATCTACAAAATGGTGGAACTGACACGATATCAGCATGGTCTACCAACGATTCCAATTTTAAAATCTCCATTTACAACTTGAAGCTCCTCTCCATGTAGTATGAAATTATTCCGATAGAACAGAAAGTACGCTAATTGTTTAAATTAACTGTCTTCTTTATTCACAGAAAAATAAGCATACATTTTAGGCAACAGAATTTGGTGAAATGAGATGCAGGGACCCTCTGCTCCTGAAGACATCCTGGGTTCTTTCTCTCTTTCTTTCTTTCTTTCTTCAGGATATGCAAGTAGTGTGATATGGAAACAGGAGTGTAGGGCGTAAGGAATCCAACCGGGTGAGCAGGTGCTATCCCCAAGCATGACAGAACAACCAAAAACATTTGATTTGTGTGGGACATTTACGCTTAATGCAGCAAGTCTTAGAATTGGGTGCTCAAAGTCACTACTGGATTGGACAGGATTCGTTTCTTCTAGGTTGAAGAAAAACCCAGTGACGAAGGCGATGATTTTTGAGCCAGGATTTGGAAGAAGAGGGGAACCAAGGCACGAATGGTTTATCCGCAGTGACAAGAGTATTTCAAGTATCTTGCGTGAGCTTCAAAGTTGATGTCGATCACAGCGAGAATTCTCTGGCAAATCAATGGAGTATTCTGAGGAACTGAATTCTTTCAAAATGGAGCGTGAGAGTGTAGTCTCGAGTAGCAAGCCAAGCAATCTAGCCGAGAATCTATTCCAATCGATGAAGACGGCACGTACACTAGACTACGGTCTTCAGCTGATGGACGATTCCAAAATGTTGCGCAGAATCTTAAAGAGTGAGATTTACAATCGGGAGTATTCAATGAGGAGCTGCAGCGTAGACAAAGCTAGTGGAGCCGAACATGTGCAGCGGACTGGATCAAAGGATCGAGAAAAGAAAACAGGAAACGGGGAGGAGCAAAGCTCGTATGCCTTCGCGGATTCATACAACGGAGACGAAGAATATGACTACATAGTGGAGGTGCCAGAGGAGGACGACGTTGAGGTTTACGAAGACAACCAGTCGGAGATATGGCCGCCGCCGCTCAACTCCGAACGGGATTTACAGCTGCTTCGACCCCCCGCGAGACTGGAAGCAATGCAATCTGTGGAGCGAGAGTGGGTGCACAAGCTGTACGCTGCTATGAACGATTGCCTGTTCTTGTGCAGTCGACTTAAGAATGCGCAGAACCAGGTGACGATCTACCACTCGCAAGTGTCTCATCTCACCAAGTGTTACTTCATGGCGGAGGAGAATTTCCAGAGGTACCAGACGAGGATTGAGCGAGCTGTGGAGCATCCGAATTGGGCATTCGAGCAGAGCTTTCGGATAGGTTCGGAGGCGATGTCGTTCTGCATCGATTCTCTAGTGCAGCTCCGGCATGTCATGCACGACGGGGAGATGCTCGCCACGCAGTGCTGTCGTCAAGATTGGTGGCGGATGGCGCTCACACTCCCCTGCACGGGCCCCAACTTCCCCCGGTTCAGATCCATGTCGCCATTCGCGTTCAACATCCGAGAATTTGTGTGGAGCCTCAACGTTGTGGAGTTCGCGTTTCATATCTGGCGCAATGGCCCGCCCATATACACGACCTCGCTTTTGAGCTCGGCATTCAGCCACTGGGCGACGGAGGAGCGGCACATCCGGTACACTTATCTGTACTCGTTGAAAGCAGACGAGGAGAGAGAAGCTAGTGACAAGAGGGTCATGTGCTTGACGCTGCGGTACATCGTGAATGCTACTTGGTATAACCCCATCGAAGAGGAGCCCGATCGCTATGTCTTCGAGGTTTTGATGCTGAAGCTTGAGGGGCCGGAACTAACCCCCAATCTCGCCCCTGACTCGTTCTGGATCGACCAATACCAACTGGAGCTTTACGACACCATCGGTCAGGGGAGCTTAGGTGTTGTCTTGAAGTGCAAGTGGTTCGGGGAGTGTGTGGCGGTGAAAGTGCTCACCGGGGGTATCGATCCGGTGGTGCTCGAAGCTGAGGCTGCACTTGTTGCTGGCGTGCAGCACCCCAACATTGTGAAGCTTATCGGATGTGCTTACAACCAGGAACGGAGAGCTGGGATGTTCGTGATGGAAGTCGTGGGGCGGGATCTACGCACGCTCATTGAGCTCCGTAACATGAACTTCCAGAACAGATCACCCCCTTTCTCTTTGTTGCAATCTGTTGAGATTATGTTGCAGATTGCGGAGGCTCTCCAGTACTTGAAGGATTGCAAGCTGATGCATAAAGACGTGCGGGCGCGGAAAGTGCTGATCAGGCTCTGTGAAGCCGGAGAGGCTTCAGCTCCGAGCTGGGAGTACTTCCACGTGAAGCTCGCGGATGTTGGGTTGGCGAAGTTTAAGCTGGAAATGCTGCAGGCGAGCTCATTCCAAACAGAAGCATGTCGATGGCGAGCTCCGGAGGTATTCCGCGACGAGGAGATGATAGAGAAGTACTCATGGCCGGCAGACGTGTACAGCTTCGCCATGACGTGCTACGAAATCCTCACCGGGGAGGTGCCCTTCCAAGGCGTTCCTCTCAACGAGGTGTATTTAAAATTATGCGCCGGAGAGCGTCCAGAGCTCCCCGCTCACTGTCCGCCTTACATTGCCAAGTACATTGCGAAGTGCTGGGCCAGTAACCCTAATGAGCGACCCGAATTTTCTGAAATTTGTGAGCATCTGCGACATTGGAAGTGCATGCTGCTCCTCAGGAAATCCATCCCGGCCGTCCAGCCCGCAGGCAAGCTCACCGGCAACATCATTGGCAAACCTTGGGAGTCTTGACACTCTGTGTATACTCCTCCAAGTAAATCCCCAATCCCCGGTATGAGTTTTCATCACCGCAAAAGCCCACATTTCTCCGAGACTCATCTTGCTTCACTCCAATGAAGGGATATAACCACTTTTGGAGCTTCCTTTTCTGCTCACATTTGCAGGTGCGTCTGTTATGCTGTGATATCACTTGCTCAAATCTGTGTTTTTTGTGACATTGATATGCATAGTCTTTCGCCGGCTGTCAGTACGTCGGGTCTCTCATGCGTTGGGGGATTTCATTGTCCATTGCCAGATTGATAAGCGGTAATGACGAGGAATTCAATGCAGGAAAAAATGCTTTGTTCATAGCTGGATTCATCATGGATCAAGTTCGTCGCAAGAGGACAACCTTAGCAGGGCTTCGAAAACTGGCACGACTCCACTTCGTACCTTGATGTGAAGAGACCACTCTATGCACCTTTCAAAGCCATACATGGTGACTTGGGTCAACAAGGAAGATGCCCGTTTCTTCAGTGTCACATTTATCATGAATAAGTTGGTATTCTAACATCTCACACATTGCAAGGTACAGTAGATTTTCCGCATCAAAGCAGCTCAAGTTGATATACATTGATGAACAGCATTCAAGGCTCGAGTACATGTGCTCCTACTCTCCAAGCAGGGTGCAGATTCAACCGCAATCTCCATTCTCAAATGTGTGTTTTTCTAGCTCTTCTACACACGGGTGCTGTAATAGAATTGGATCTAGACAGGACCCAAGTTTTCAGTCCTGTATGCTCGCAAGATTTTCGAAGAGCAACCACTTCTTTATTTGAGCTGTGACTGTTTTAAGACCTCATATCTCTCTTCTTCTTACTTTTTTGTGTTCTGCAGTGAGATTGAATGGGTAGTTAACGGAAACATGGTGTAGAATAATCACCAAATAAGAGAAACACCGACGATTTCTAGAATAATTCTCTGGTGAGATGGCTCACCAGTGAACACATGCACCCAGTTAGCATCTGAACACATGGACAGATTTTTAGGCTTATATATCGAACTGGGATACAACCCATCTCTTTTCTCTTTTCTGTGCCTCATTTTTCTTCTTCTGTTGCCATTCTTGTGGAGATATGGTCATGTGGTTACTGTTTGATGTCAATTAACAAGGGAATGTGAGATTCGAAGATCACATTACAATCAATTTTCCTAATTTCTAGAGTTGTAGGAGGGACTCTATCGACTATGAATGCTCAAGTTCAGATTGTGCTGACGGTGTGATTTATTATAATAAGTATTATTGTGTTTTCTTAATAATTAGCTAGGTTTATTGGGTGCATGTTTTCTTTATCAAAATATGGGTGTATGCCATAAAGTTGTAAAGCTACTGGCCTGTGGGACCATATTATTCTGTCATTTCCGACTGTTTTGGATACCTTAATGTTGAACGTTTAGAATAAATCTTGAAGAACTTGATAAAAATCTCATATATGAGGTCCCAGAATGTAAAATGATTTTGAGAAAGGGTATTTGAAAGTAGATGTTGTTGAATGTAATCATTGCTTACAAGTATTATATATATATATATATACGTAAAATAATTGTATCAACTATAAGAATAAATATGTTTATCATATCACTTGTTTAGCGTGGACTTATTATGTTTTGTGCTAATTTTTTTCTAAATATCAAAATTACTAGTCAACATTCAAGTCAAAAAAAAATTCTAAATGTCAAAATTACTAATCAACAGAAATATCCTGCAAAATTTAAGTAGTAATGTTTTTGTACAGACTATTGAATTCAACACTAAATCATTCAATTTAGCAAAAGAACACTCGTACAATTTATTTTTTTCAGAAATAAATAAATAATCCTAAATTCAAAAACCAAAAATTCAAAAACGGATATTATAACAAACAACCGAAGTGTAATTTAATCATTTTCAGATTCACGCATCACAGAAAACAGCGTCATGTCGAGCAGAATAGAAAACCAATTCAGCAACAGTTAATTCATATTCGATCACAACACTAGTCCATTCCACATGTCGATTACGAAGAAACCATGTTTACAAGCTGCTTGTACAAAACAATTCACACTTGTGGGTTCCACCTCAACCAGTGACATTCACCTTCAAGCATCCACCACAATAACTGAAAGAAATGTCAACATGTGCTACTCTAATTCAAAGAACTAATACAAAGTCTACATCATTCGAGAACAAGACATGTTACACAGGCACTATCAAAATACAAATGCACCATCTTTACAAAACTGCTTGTCCAGAATCACACATCCCTCAAGTTGAGGAAATCTTGAATGAGATGTGATGATCATGTTCAAGCGGTGATTAAAGGCGATCTGTCGGCGTTCTCGGTGGCCTCGGCAGAGGTGTAGGCAAGACCATAGCTGACGAGCCATGGCCCAAGCCACAGGAAGATCAGGCCTATGGTCAAGGGCCACCCAACTGGAAGGAAGAAAGCCAAGATGAAGAGGATGACACCGCACACTTCGAAGACGGTGCCTGCTTGCGAGTGCAGGTTGTCCCACGAGCTGTTCGTCGTCCAGGGGTTGATGATTCCGATCACCATGTTGGGTTCCACATGCTTGATGTTGTAACCAAACCAGATGAGTAGCCACAAGGCTATGTTGGCAACGAATGTGCGAGCTGGGAAGGTGTGGAGGTCGTTCACCGCAGCTGGCAGCATCACGAAGGTTTGAGTGACGAAGAGGAAGATGGCAGGTAGGGTTACGAGGTGGAAGATGGAGTGTTTCGATTCGTGCCTGCAACGAAACCCAGCAACACGAGCGGTTGAATACCAATACAATCCAGCACCAGCAAGACATGATGGTATTCGTCGAAAAATTCACTACCGACAGTGTTCGAAAGACAATGATGCAAGAAAAAAATCACTGCACAAAGGAAAACGTCAACAAAGGGGAAGAATGGGATCTTACCCATGGCTCTCGATGTTGTTGACAACGCTCATGTAGAGAGCGTAAGGCACGAGGAAGGTCAACACTGGCAGGAAGAACATTCCAAACCATCGAGGAACCCAAAGCCAAGGATGAGCTGCACAATACCCACCCACCCACCCACCCACCCACCCCACCACACAAAAGTTCAATACCAGCATCGACATCACGACGCATACATCCACCTCATTCCTAAACAACAAACCACATTCCAAACATGAAAAACAAACAACAACAACAAAACTTACTCACAAAGCAACAAAAAGACAAGAAAACACGAAGAAAAAAGAAAGCGTACTCACCGTGCAAGTCCCACCAGATGGGTATCTTTTGTGGAGCATCGTGCCACTTGAAAATGGTGATCACCAAGCTGACAGCCGTAAGCAAGCCCACCAGCACAACGGGATTGGAGCCTCCCATGTCTTGACTAAGTCAAGTTACTCCCCAAGCTTTTCTTTCCTCTCACAACTGGAGAAAAATGAATGATCAGGGATACAACAATAACAACAACAAGAAGCTTGAGCTAGAATAGCAGGTCTACCCACATAAAAATATACACACAAACATAGACATTCACTGACAGTTTGTTTGAGGGGAGGGGGAAGTAAAGTATATGCTTTGTAAAATATGCTTAGTTAGAAACAGGAATAGGAATAGGAAGAAGACGAAGCCACATGGCCTCGCAGCTGGCATCCACCGTGGCGCTCCCACCTGGCGACCATGCCTTTGGCCAAGTCCTTCTTCTATCTTCACATTCATCCATCCATTCATTTATCCACTCATACATCCATTTATTCATCCATTCATTCCCAAGACTTTGCTGACATGGCAATGACAATGATATTGATATTCAAGTCATGCCTTTGGAAGTGGGCCACATGCCTTTTTTGTGGTGTTTCTATGTGAAGATTTTGAGCTTGTTGGAAATGGTATTTTTTTGTACGTAGTTGGGTAAAATAGCAGTGGTACTGGTGTAACTTTTGTGCACAAGAAAATTAGTGTGTAGAAGATATTGTTGATGTTTGTGTTTGGTTATGTGTGTGATGAAGTAATACAATGATGTTTAGAGTTATTTCAGTGTTATTTATTTATTATTATTATTATTCTTTAAGTATTTATTTGATGTGTATAGCTTTTTGTAATGAATTTTTCTAATGTTGGTTTGACTTTCTTTTTAAAATCACAAAAAAATGAAATTTAAATAAAATAATTTAGCTTATTTATAATTTATGTAGGACCTTAAAATTAAATCAATAATGTTTTACATGGCAATTGATTTTTTTTAATAACAAATAATTATTATATACACACAAAAAATCTTAAAATTGTAATTAGTCTACAATTTCTTTAATAGAGGCTATAAAATACTAAAATAGTTGACTATGATTACTGAAGATCCTTTTAAAAAATATTATTTTCTATTTTTAACAAAAATATTTTTATTTTTATTTTTATTGTAGTGATGATTTGTGATAAATCAACTTCTAAATAGACTTATTGCTCTTCTGACTTGAACCCTTCACTTCTATATGCAATAATTAGGCAAATGTAAGATAAAATATTTAGCACTTGTAAAAATCAATTAAATTAAATTGTTGTAGCATTATATGAGTGCTTAATCTTGTCTAGTATTTCTCAATTAAAATAATAATATTTGTATTGATTTTGTTTCTAGTTGAAATTATTTTTGCAACATATTATATATATTTTTTATATAACAGCAATCATTATTATCATATCAATGTAAATTAAAATCAAAATTCTATTAAATTAGGACTTCAAAATAATACTTTAAATTTATTTTAAAACTTATAATGATACTAAAACATTATAAGCTTAAGTTTTCTAGTTAGACCTTAGAACATTTAATATTATTTAAAATCTGTTATAAAATATCTTGTTATGTCAAAAATATTTTAATCCTACTAGTTTATGGTAGAATAAAAAAAGCTTATATATCTCCTTGTAAATTTCTATGTCAAAGTTGGTCATTGTGAAGTGGCACTTGGTGCTTAAAATATCATATTTTATCTCAAGAGAATTTTTGTAATGGTGAAAGTTTCAACAGCTGTTATAGTTTGTCTATTAACTACAATAAAAAAAATATGAAGTATAAAATATAATTTAAGATTAGAATCTTGAGATTTTATAAAGGTCAATTATAGATGTTGTAATTGTATGTTTAAAATATTGTATATGCATTAGAAGATATGATGAATTTTTCCACCAATTTCTATCTTTGTGACAAAAAATAATCTTTAGATATTAAATTCATTGTTTTATCAAAACCATAATGTATTGCAATAAGAAGATTGTAAATTTTTTAACAATCCAAAGGCATGTAAGTTTTATAGCTATCTTCTTTAATCTATTTAAATAAACCAATCCATCCTTAAATGTAAATTTATGATCTATCTAATAATTAGAATGTGTTTTTTTTTCAAGATTCTGTTTTTCAAAATTATAAATAATAATGTATTCAAATTTAATTTCAATGGCTATATATCTCTCTCTTTCTCTTTATATATATATATATATATATATATTCATATATATATATATTCATATATCATATTATTTTTTTAGACTCTATGTATGATTTGTAAGATAATAAAAATTTTTCCTTACAAGTTGATAAGAAAAGATGCAATTCCAAAGCCAATCCAAAACAATATTATACTTTATTTTATTATTTTATTAGTTTATTTTTATTAATAACACTATTTAGGAGTACAAATACACATATCCATAAAAGCTCTTATATAAGAGATGAATTCTCAATAAATGAGGTTCTAGTGGAATACTCTTGACATTTTTTAAACACATGGGTATTCAACTTAGAAGCTAAATATGCTTTATTTTATAGTTCTAAAAGCATTTGTTAAAATACGCATGTAAAACTCATCATAGTCTATGGCCATGGCAATAAATCCAATGATGCATTTGATCTTTTCAATCAATCAAAATCTTTTGTATGTAGCTCTATAATGCATGTCTTCACTAAGCTAATAGAAATTATTGTCTATAGTAGAGAGTTTGAGAGAGCGGATCTTGTGTATAAGTAGCTTATGCAAAAAGAATGTGAATTAGACTATTTTGCCTAAAACATTTTGATCCGCTACTTTGGCCACTCTAATCAATTGGATTTGACTATGGAGATGTTCAAAGAAATGAAGATTAAGTGATCAAAGAATGATGAATATCCTTAAGGATTTTTGGTGAATGCTCTTTGCAAGGCAATGAAGGTGCAAGAAGCTTGTTCATTCTTTGATTCTACACTTGAGAGATTTTTAACTCCACCATCTCCACATACAACCTCTTCATGAATGCTTTTATAAAGGTCAGCCAATTAGATATAGCCTTAGGACTCTTTTCTGAGATGAAAAAGAGGGATTTTTAGCCCTTGGTGGTGATATACAACATCCTTTTGGAAGCATTATGCTTGCTAATATGAATTGTACATGACAATCACGACTGACATTGAAGCAAGATTCAATAGCTTCCAATACATCTCTTAATTAAACACTTCTAATGGCTTGGCCAAAATACTATTGAGTAATCTTAGCACTAAGGGCAAATTCTTCTCAAGTTATACATCCATTGTTATTGCATAGAAGGAATCAAAATTCTACACAACAAAGTATGATGTATGATTTGTGTAGTCCTCATTCACTATTGCATATTGATTGCTATAAAGTTGATAAATGAATGATAAACACTAATACTATATCTATTCAAAACTATAAATGAAATAACACAATTCTTGCTAGCAAGTACAAAGTTTGTATTCTCTCTTTTAAGGAGATATTACAGAAGTTAAATGTGCATACCATAAACAACAAACTTGTTGTAGTAAATATGGCAAAGCTCTACTATCAAAGCAACTTTGGTATCAAATTATACATATTTAAGTTGCAAATTTGTATCTTAAACTAAGTCAAAATTAAGCATAGCCTATACAAAAGAGAATTGTATTGCATACAATTATGCTTGTGAACCACATCAATTGACAACAAAATGTGGGGTATGTAGTAGATCTTAAGGAGCCAAATTAAGACACGACATATGATACAATGATAAGAAAACACTCAATGAGGCTTCTCTAATCAACACTTCACGTTTAAGTTTTCTTTAACTAAAGCTCTCACATGCTTTCCCTCTTAGAAACATCTTGAAACAACACATTAATTTCAATTAATGTCACAATTAATATCTTAGTTAATCTCAGTTTTAGTTCACTTTTGATGACAACAATGAATCATTCAGTGAATCAAACAAGGTTTTTGACTCTTATTTATTCTGTGTATTTGTCCCCACCTGGGCTGTTTTATATATTGAGTCTTTTTAAGTAAGTAGTGTCTTTCTTCAAAAGCATCAATTACTACAAAAAAAAATTTATTTATTATATTATTTATAATGAATGTATGCAAATATAAATTTTGAAAAGAAATATCTAATAGGATAATACTAGTCTTAATCTTTACATTACATCTCTTAGCTTAAAATATTAAAATTCAAAAATTTAATTTGATTTTTAATTACACAAACAAATTCTCATCTGGTGCATAATCTCTTTTATAGTTTTTACTGACACCAATTGAACAAGGAGCATGTTTTCTTTTTTCTTTTTTCTTTTTTTTGTTCTTGAAACACATTAATGTATAATCTAGATAAATATCTAAAAATTAAATAAATTTTTTTTTAATTATATTTTAACATGCAATATTAGAAATTATCAGTATTTTTGAGAATTTAAAACTATTAATTATTGTATGTTTAAATATTGCAGATGTAATAATAGGTCAAAATAATATTATATTATATTCAAAGTATACATAACCTTCAGTCCAAATAGTTTAAGTCAAAAACCACAAAAAAAATTCTACCATTTATCGAAGGTACCATCATATACAGTATAAAAAAAAAGAATATCATTGAAACAATATGTTCCATTATCATTGTTTTCGTTGTCAGAAACTGGTCAACTACCTTACCAGCCTGCCATAGCATTTGGACCATTACCTGTGAACAATCGCTCAAACTTAATACACGAATTCTAACAGAAAACTCAACTGAGATGTGTTTACTGAAGAACGGGTGTACTGTTACACGTTGTGCTTTTCAAGTTTTCCCGCAAAGACTTGCAACATATGTTCAAATTCAATTTTCAGAGCTACGGTACATATGTCTTTGAGTGCAATTTTTCTCCTATTCTATCAAAACGATGTCCTCGTAAAAACTGTTCGTTCCTATTCACATTTTTCAACATAATATTTTTGTCGCTTTCACGTACTGTACTACTCAATGTCATCAATCTTAAAAATTCCGACCACTATGGTCAAGACTGGGCTATTTTTCAGACACCTCTCATCGATCGTTGGATACAATAATCATTACTGCTGAATACAAAAACAAAATAAATATATCGAGTGGGTGGCGGAGAAGTTTTAGATATGAGACACTATGAGTGGCTAAAACACATGAGCTGTTTGTTTTCCACAATCATCTGCACTATTTCAACTTAGTATGGAACTGATGTGCACAATTTCAGCGAGGGTGGTTACAGAGTGAAAACACTCTCATTCAGTCCTTTCTAGCCCCTTCCAAATGACACTCCTTATCCTGCTTTACGAATGCGAATATTCATAATTCGTAAGGTACTAAAGTCAGCTTTTGTCCTGCAGAAATGAAACTCATATCTAATGGTACAAAAACTACGTAAACACAGAGTGGGACTTAACTAGTGTTCTTCATATCGAGTTAAGAAAAAGAATAAGAAGTGCAAATGTAAGCGTATCAGCCCGTTATGGTACAGACTAGACAAGTGAAAATTCAACAAGGTATTCACCAAACCATGCACAAAGATTTAAGTCAACACACAACGCAACAGTATCATAGGGGAACCACAGAACAAGAAAACGAACCATCCTGGTCCCAGATCTTATCATATATTACCTAACAGTGTCTGAAGGTGTCGTTCCTTTCAATATTGGACTTCATTGGAATTTAACGTCATAATCAAACCCACTATGCACAGCTCATCTCACGCGGCACAACCTACGCGAGACGAATAGTAGACAATGCCGAGCTCGCAGCAGCACAACGCCTCATCCTGAGCTCTTAATGGGATTTCTCCACATATATCCTTCAGCATTACTGCATCAAAAAACAACGTCAGAAATCATCATCCAAGCTCCAAACCACAAGGCAGCTACGAATCGCCTCCCAACAACACAAGGGACTCAGTGAAATCAAAAATATACCTTTCCGTCATCACCCCTCATATCATCTCCCTTGGGCTGATCGTCACCTGAACGCACAACCCATCGATTCAGCACCAAGCTCAAACATCCTCTTCGACCATTTCTGTTTTTAAGTGCGCTTCAATACAAACAATCAAAGCAAACTTCAGAGCATCCAAACCCGTCAACAAGTATCATACATCAGCTCCACAGTACAACTCATCCCACAACTATAAACCACTGCAGCGATCAACGAGTACAATACCTCCCTCCTCCTGGAGATCCGATGTCCACAAAGTCAGATTATCCCTCAGCAACTGCATGATCAATGTGCTGTCCTTGTACGACTCTTCACTCAACGTATCCAGCTCAGCGATAGCCTCATCAAATGCTTGCTTCGCCAAATGGCATGCCCTGTAATTCCATACCACTACCTGATTATTACCGGTGCAAACCCAGATAAGCACAAATTCAGCATGCTACCGAAAACTTCATCAATCAATGGCCCCGTCCAATAGACGGTTCAATCACTCTCATCTGCTTCACCGCATAATCAACTACCACAATCTTACCGCTCAGGTGAGTTCAAAATCTCATAGTAGAACACTGAGAAGTTAAGTGCGAGCCCAAGTCGGATAGGGTGGGTGGGCGCTAAGTCCGTCGTGGCTGTATTGGATGCAGCCTGCGCACACACGCATTATGTTACAGGCCCCCATAAGGAGGCAGCCGCGTCACAGGACGCACGCATGTGAGAAACTGCAACTGTCTAACGCCAGCATTGGCCTTTCTAGAATGTGATACTACTAGAAACATTTAAATCCACGACACTCAATGTCCAATCGAAGACAACATAATCCAGCGACACACACCTGATAAGCCTTCAAAGATTGGTCAGCGGCTTCTTTCCTATCGTTTCCGGTCTTGAACTCGGCAAGGTAACGATAGTAATCACCCTTCCTGGTACCATTCCCATAGATCTTTAGTCAAATTACCACCAACGCGAAATGAAGACTTGCGCACTGAATCTGAGCAGTTATGATCACTTTTCCACGTAGTCCACATTGTGATAAATCACAAACAAAACTCCTAACAAAACACTAATAACTTCTCTCTCAGAACATCACGTACATCTTGTAATAAAAGACTGTTGACTCGCCAGTGCTCGACGATGGAATCAAGTGCTCATCGATAATGGTCAATATGTCCTGACATATCTTAGACAGCTCCTCCTCCACCTTGTGCCTGTAATCCTTGATACGCTTCACGTTCTGTTCGTTACCCTTGCTCTCCTCCTTCTGCTCGATCGACGACATGATCCGCCATGACGCCCTCCGGGCACCAATCACATTCTTGTAACCCACAGACAAGAGATTTCGCTCCTCTACTGTCAGCTCCACATCAAGCTTCGCCACTTTCTTCATCGACTCCACCATCTCTGCAATTCACAAGACCCAACGCACGGTCCATCACCCATCGAAACATGTCGCTAAGGTACATTTCGCTTTCCTAAAATACTCCTTCACAGTAATTCATGTGCGGGATTGCACAAACCCTAAAGATGATCCTTCGATGACATAAACAATAACCCCAGAACTCACCAAAGGCGACTTTACCCGCTTAGACTCGATCGGGGGACCTTTCCAAGAAAACAAACTGTAAAAGACACCGAAAAATAGCATCTGCTTCTGTTGATGAGGAAACTATTGATGGAAACTGGGATACATGCTTAACATACGACAATCGTTATCTTTTTCACTTCACAGACTGGACGAGGATAAGCCTCAGGAGACAACGTACTCGAATGAGTCCACCACTAAAGAATGCATCAGGAACCAAAACTGTAACATTCGACCCTCGCCGTGCAGAGGCCTAGCAACTACTCTGCGCACAGCACATGTTCGCAAGTCCCGAAAACAGGTCCATACAGTCATACATACGTATTTACTCCTATCATGTATACATAAACCATTACGGGACACCAAACCCTCGCGACAAGAAGAAAAGTGAATGACTGCGTCAATGCGAACTCCAAAATGATTGAAAATAATAAATAAAAATAAACAGATGCAATTTGGTTGATAACAAGGCAGAGCTCAGCCATCGATACCGACCTCGTCTCGAAACGAAAAACGCCACCACTAACAGAAACCCGACAACTGAAAGCAGAGACACCGCCACCTCTACGGATCTCCACACCAACCTCCCACCATCGTCGAGCACGAAATTCAAACCACCGAACTCGAAGAAACAACGACAACAAAAACAGCAACAAAAGCACTCTCAGTCAGTCTCTCAAGAACACGCACCATCGTATCGCTCCGCCTGCTCGGCGAGCTTGGCCATGTACACCTGGCTCTCACGCTCCTTCTCCGTGCTCATCTTGACAGCACTCTAAACCACACAAAAACAAAAGTCGAAACAGGGCGAGGGGGCAGAGAACAGAAGAAAAAAAAAGAAGCAAGAGAAGGAGGAAGAGGAAAGTGCAGGCGGAGGAAGGAAGAGAAGGTAGAGGAGCAGAATGGAGAGAAAGGAATGAGCAAAGCAACCAGCAGTGACTTCATGTGGTGACTTTGAACCTTGAGCACCAGCGTGAAAGCGCCGCAGAACAGCGGGCAGTCGGGCAGCAGGGGGGGTGCTTACTGCCTAATCCCGGCGTCGTCGTCGTCGTCGTCGTCGTCCTCCTTTCTCCCTTTCTTCCTTCCTTCCTTTAGGGTAAGCAAGCAAGCCAGCACTATGACGTAGACGATGGACGGGGGGTGGTCGTCGTCATCGGTCCATCCGTCCGTCCGTCCGTCCGTCCGTCGGGGTGGACGCACGCAGCCTGGCAGGGAGGTTCCGACGGCACCGGCCACCGTGGAGCAGGCGAGGCAGTCGCTGTGCTCGCACGTCCTGCGGTGGAACCTGCTGCCCAATCTGCCCGCAATCTGCTGCTGCAAGGATGGGTCGGGCCGGGCTGGGCTGAGACGAGATGGGTCTGGATGCTACAAAAGGGGGCCTTGCTGAATGTGCCATCTTCCATCCATCCGCACATCATTCATCCAAGCCTGCGCTCTGCTCCATCCGTATTCGTTCCATGGGGTTTAAATTGGATGCTTCTATAGGCTACGTGAGAATTGGAAATGAGACATTATTGTACACTATTTTTAAAGTGGATTGAGGTAAATAGCGGGTTGATAAATAAACTCAGTAGGGTTTAAACTGGTAGCATTATGTGGTGTTAAAGATTATTGCATTTTAAAAGCAGTTTTATGAGTTGCAATCCATCTGATCTTATTTTGTATGTCAAATAAGTAGTTGAAAAAACTACCTTACAACTTCATAATACTCTTAATCTATTGCTGTGTTTCATATTCTAATACGCATCTACAATCAATCAATGAATCATTGTATCCTATTTGGAATTGCAACCCATCATTTGAATTGAACTTATTTGGTAATAGATGGTTTGTATATGATTTAATGTAAAATATTAATATCTTCAAACTTTTTAACTATAAAATTTTCTTATATTTTATTGAATTTCTTACTCTTTAAATTAATGTTCATATTTTCACTTAATCTACTTTTTTTCAAATGTTACCTGAATCTGAGGTTTTCAATATTTATTAAAATTTATCAAATTCAAATATAAGGTCATCTATAAAAGATATGTCTTTTTTAAAGATTTTATTACAAACAAATTATTTTAATAATTTATTTAAAGTACAAAAACCTCTTCTAGAATTTGTAAAAAATGAATTAACAAAATTTGTTTAAAAATTCTTAATAGTATCGTGTGGTAACATAACTATATAGTGAAAAATAAAAATACAAATGTTATTATAGAAGAGCCTAGCAAAAAGATGTAGTAAAAGAATAAGTATAAAAGTTAGAAAGGTAGTAATAGATTTAGTCTTAATGCTGCCTTTTTGTAGAAGGGACTTCAATTTACTTTGTAGAGATATAAATGAGCCAAATCAAATAAATAAGGTAAGAAATTAATAAATACATATTTAAAAGAGAGTTAATAATAGGATAAAGCAAAATTTACCTCAAATTATAGAAAATTAATACTTGGAGAGGATTGGTTGATAACATAGATCAAAATCAGATCCTGAGTTATAAAATTACATCCATATGGCGATTTTAAGCTTCTTTGGTAGATTAGATAGTGGGATTTGATAATCGACTTGAAGAGAGATTTTTAGGTATTAGTTTCATATCAATTGAATCAATATTAAGTTTTTGAGGGATTTTCAAAATTAGTGATGTTCTTGGTTGGTTTAGATTTTGAGAAATAAAGATATGTTTACAAATTTGAGGATTTCTTGAGCTTTATGGTATGAATACAAGTAAATTTTGGATAATGTGTTGATGTGCTAGTTGTAAATGTGTGTAAAATTTTTTAGGTCAATCAAATAGTTAGATCAAAGTATGTGAAGGTTTTTGTAGGTTGAGGTCTTAGAAATTGGAGTTTGAAGGTTAGTGAGTGTTTCTAAGATCTTTAGTAATCTGTCAATTGAATTGAAGTGAATTTTTTTTATGAAAATACTAGATTTAATTTCTATTGTTTAGATAAAATTTTAGAGAAATTCAATGGTTCAAGAAAGAGGTATTGGTGTTGGAAGTTTAGTATTTAGGTTGGAATAGAATGCCACCTAATACCCAATTATATTATCTTGTATTTTTGTCAATTGGTAAGTACAGTCAATTTTATTTTTTTTATGCTTGTTTTTAACTAAGTTATTAAGAAGTGTACAAACTTTGAGTCGATATTAATAGTTTGATCATTAGTTGTTGAGGTTCCATTTGGCTATAGGATTTTGTTTAGAGTTTGTCTATATTTTAATTAGGACTTAGGACTTAGGATTTGATCTAGGATTTTCTTGGAATTTGGTTAAGAACTTGACTAGGAATTGATTAAGATTTGTTTAGGATTTTCTAGGATTTAGGATTTTATAAGGATTTTATTATGGTTTAATCTAGGATTTGATTAAGATTCAATTAAGATTTTAGTTTGGATTTCATCTAAGAGTTGGTTAAGATTTAATTAAAAATTATATTTTTAATATTTATTTATAATTCTTTATTATTTCTTTAAAATTTTATATTTTTAAATATTTTTAAAGATTATTATTATTTCTTTAAAGGTTTATATTTATATTTTATTAAGATTTCTTGTGATTTTTCTTTGAAATTAATTTGGAACTTCTTTGTGTTTTTTTATAACTTCTTTTAAATTTATTTTAGATTGATCAAAGTTTGATTAGAATCATTAAGGTTTATTTAAAGTTTATTTAAGATTCTAATAGACTTGGTAGGATTATTGTTGTATTTCTACTTACCTTCTATAGTTAAATATCTGGTGTATTTTCAAGTAAGAACATATATAATACGACAATGGTAGCTGAAATAAAAGTCAATTCTTTTTTAATTCCAATAAATATAAAAACCTATTAGAATGATATTTTTAACAAGTTATAATCTCAAATTAGATATATTTCTATTCATCATTTAGTGAATTATATCTAATAATAAAAAATTATATTTTTGAAATAAGCATGTATTTAATAAAAATATTTGTACATTAAAAATTGTAATATTGCATATAATTTTTCTTTAAATTGATTTTTTCTAAGTAAATTTTTAAAAGATTTTATAGTATGTGATAATATTTTTATACATTTAATTAGAATAATATTAGAATTCGTGAAAAAAATCTTATGGCAAATAAGTATGCACCTATTATATTAATAAAATAAAATATTCTATTTCATCTTGTAATAAAATATATAAAAATATATGTCAATCATATCAATTGTCTATTCTACATTATCTGTCAAGGACAAGAACTCGATGAAAAAACAGTTCAGACAAGTAAGCCTTCACTCAAAGAAAAGTAACAAAATATGAATAATAAGTATGTATATTGAAAAGAGAAACTAGAATGGCTATTGCCAAAAGACAAGAAAACTAGAGACCCTTGAAACTAGACTAGAAGCAAGAAAAGAGTTGATAAGAGTGAAGAAGCCTTCACTCTTGTCTCTATATATACTATCTAACTAGGGGCTATATGGCGACGTTCTATAGGACCTCCAATATGTGTTGACTTTGTAGGACACATGTCTTGACTTACAAGGCAAGTTTTTCTACGTGTGGGCCACATAGTTAGCTTGATCTTCAAGCTAACAACATGTGTGGCACATGGCCAACTTGTTGACCACGTTTCTAATCCAAAAAGTCAATTAAAGACACCTATGAAGTCAAAGCAGCGTCTAAGAAGTTTCTAAGAAGCTTCTATATTAAATATTATAGAATTAACTTATTTTTATCTACTTTTACTTACTTCTACCTATTTCTACATGTAATTATTAGCTTACATGATTATGGCCGTGACATTACCCCCCCTTCTAGAGACGAGTTCCACGAGGAGCGGTCATCATATGTTGAAAAAATCTATGATGCGACGAATTGTATTCGCCACATACTCTGATCTCTGTTCTCTTCGAAGATGATTGATAGGGCCTCTCAACCATCGATAGTGTCCCATACCAAGGCGGGAAGACCACCCAATTATTTGATCATTGTTGAGGCCTTCGTAACTTCCTTCAAATAGAATATTTGGAACACCATCAGGAGTTGTTCCTACCTCTAGCAAAATCACCAAACATCGGGAGTCCCTTCCCAAATCGTGATACCAAACGCATTGTATCTCACCATCTATTCGAGGAAGAACATGTTGTTCTTGAAGATCTTCATCTCGATTGCGTCGTCTTGAAGGTTGTGACAATCATAATGTCTCGTCCGGCAGGTCAGCAAACGAAGGTTCTTGAGTTGAATCCGTTGGTTGTTGGCTCTCCATCTAATTAGCGTCACAAATGCAAAGAAGTTACAAACAAGGATAGAAAATTGAATGTTATCTTGCTTCAATCTTGTCTCTTTTATAAGAGAGATTTTCATCTTGGTTTCGATGGATGTCGTTGATGAAAAACTTTGACTTTAGCTGATGCATTTGCTAGATTCCTGGATGGCTCCCATGTGCGTTCACTAATATCATATCCGCGCCAATGAACAAGACCTTCCAGCTTATTTTGGCGCCGCCTTGAGTCTAATATCTCTTCCACCTCAAATTCTTCATTATTATCTACTTCTATAGGAGGCGGTGGCATTTGTCTTCTTCCTTGTATATCCACTGTCTTATATGGTTCAAGAAGAGATACGTGGAATACAGGATGGATCTTCATTGACTCCGGTAGATGTAACCGATATGCAACTGGGTTGATCTGTTCAGAAAAAAAAAAGGGGCCAAGCCTACAATAGTCCAACTTGTCACAAGGTCGAGTAGTCTTGATATTGCGACGAAGTAGCCATACCTTATCACCCACGTTGAGTTGTGGTTGCTCCTTACGATATAGATCTGCGTTTATCTTTTGTCGTTCTTGAGCTTCCTTCAATTGTGTCTTCATTATTGCATGTAACTTTGACAACCGATTTGCCATATCTTCTGTTGCAAGATTATCAACTTTTGAAAAATCAAAAGTATCAAGTCGTGGATGATAGCCATAATTGGCAAAGA